ATGCTACATTCAGATGCTCATGTTTAAATACTTAGCTGCAATTTGCTTTTTATTACTTTTACACAACTTTTAGGAAGGGAGCCGTTCACTTGCCAGATGTGTAGTAAAGCCTTCTCCAGTCGAGGAGGTTTAAACGCACACATTTCTACGTTTCATAAGAGTGAGTTCACCGATTCTTCAACGATATTCCTAGTCGATTTTTGGGTGCATACTTACTATTATTCAATGGTGTTGCGGATTTACCTGCTTTGTTCTACCTTTCCGAGGCGGGGACAATGTGAACTCCGGGTTTGATATTAGCACTTGAAGTAAGAGAGGGCTTTGAAACACTATCATTGCGCTTACTGAAAGTCAGATAAATACTTCCTAAACATCATCCGCGACTAAATCTGCACTCTTATTGCTTGCTATCAGAAAAAAACTCATTTTTACGCTTACCATATTCTTGGACCGGTCGACAAAATTCTACTTCATTACATTCCTGATAAGGTATCGACTTACATGGCCACGCTTTAGCTGCCCTTATTTGGAATGCATCTTCTATGATCAAATAGATAGATTCTAGCCTTGCTAGAAATTTTACTACTGCCAAGTTAACAATGCTTTTCAAAGTACTGAATCTTCTCTGGTGGAAATTAAAGATGGACAATTATTGCAGCATAGAACCAGTGCATATGTTTTCATAACAGCAGTTTATTTGGTCTTTTTTCAAGAATGCTGCTAGGTTTCTCCTTGTTGCTACTGCTACCATTTTAGTAGTATCATAGTAACAATTAGCTGGTCGTTTTGCACAAATTGTGCAGTCCACTGTATACTCTGCTACTGACTTTGCAGCATAGGTTGCATTTTTCGCTGTTTATACATAATAAATCAATTGACTGCATTACGTTTTTCCTTAATAGAACATATAATTTTCCTTAACTAAGTTGTTTTTATTCCAGAACGAAAGCGTGGATAAGAATATTATTCTTCGGTGCAGATCAAGCAAACTACCAGCATGCATGCACATGCATTATCAGCTGCGTCATGTCACACAGATCAATTACCTTATGATGGAAATGTCCGTGCCTTTTGCCTATTCTCTGCAAACAAAGGCCAGCTTACACATCTTTTACCTTGTCTCAGGCAAATCGCGCCATACATAAAGCCTATGTGCCTCGTAACGCTTTGAAATTCTTTTTTACTTAATCAACCCATATGCCTTAATAATTGGTTTTGAGTCTTTCCTTGAGGAGTGGCTACTAGTAGCGAAATGTCTTGAATCCCATTTCCTTTGCAGTCTACTTGCTTTCGATGATACTGAAATATCATTCTTTTGCCTTCACGTATTTTTGCAAGAATATATGCGCAGTTACTTGCTAAGCATTTCGATTTCTTTGGCTCAGATGCTGATTTAATTGTTGATAATTTTATTGCAAGGTAAATATGTATCAGCCATGCATTTGCCCTGCTTTAATTACAAAATGCAAGTTTGGATCTTTTGGACACAGGGAAAACACTTTCTTTCCAGATCGAAAGAGAGTTTTATCGAGTTTTGCTTCCACTCACGTTTCAAAGTATGGTTTATTAGATTTTTACTTTGGTTTTGGTCTCTCCACTACTCAATAGCTGGTAGATGCAATAGACAGCTGTTATAATAATTATGTTCAGATTAAGGCCATCCAGTGTTGCAATAGTGCGTGAGAATGGTGAGAAAAGTGTAGCAGCTTGTGTTCGGGCAGATCTAGCATTCCATGCCTAGTACACTTTCGGTACTAGGCCTAGATTTACGTAAAGATTTCGCCGCTAAAACGAGTTTAAGTATAATTCGGGCATTCATTCTTCTTTGCAAATTTGACTAGAAAATGTTAAACAATTTTGTGCCTTGTCACGGATTTCCTAATAGCGCTAAGCTTTCCGTTACAATCCAGCTGACTTGAATAGCAACCATGCCTGAACAACTCTTCACTTGCCTTACTCAATCAAGATGCTTTAGTTACCGAATGGCAATTATAGCCTTCATGTAGTTTTCTATTAGTACTGAAACTTTACTTTGCTTAAAATTTAAGCGATTAGTTGCATGTCAGGAAAAGGGTCTAAACTTGTCACCTTCATTCTCGTTGCAACTATAACTAGGCGTTCCTAGGAGCAGCTAATTTTATGCCCATCAAGCCAAGAATAAGGTGGTGAGGATGAACTCATACATATCATATACTACCCCAGGTATATTTGTAACATTAATTGGATAGGTAGATTCAATTTTATAGCAGAGTTTTCCCACGCACAATGTTTGTAGGGTGGAACCGTAATCAATGTTGGTTTGGATAGAATTATTAGGTAAGAGTTGGTCATGGAACACTAATATTGCTTATTTATAGTGCCGAGTGAACTTGGCCTTCGAGTGGTTACCTGTTCAATTTCAGCATTACGCAACTTTATGATGGTCAATAAAGAGGAACTGAATGGGAGTCCTACACTCTACTACTCTCAAAGATATGCATTCAAAATAAAGCTTCCAGGAAATTGCAGAATTTGAAAATGGAGAGCTGGGAATCCATTAATCATAGTAATTACTAATCTGTGCGGAAACGTTTTATGAATAACTCAGATATTTCCAGTGAACATGCTTTTTCCTCCAAATATTTATCCCTCGCATTCTTTTGAGGATATTCATGCATAAGGCGTCAATAGGCGCAGCACTATAATCTGTGTAAAACATCAACAAGGTGGAAGGTACGCAATAGAGCTTTTAACTAAGTTTAGTGAATTGGGTAATTTAGCAAGTGTTTTTATTATTTACCTTTTTTACCTGATTAGATAGGGGCATTCATTTCTTCATTCACGCAGCCTCTCGTCGATGACATCATTGAGTGCAATGTACTTCAGTGACACGCCCCTTATGCCCTTCTTTATTAGTCAAGTCATTTTGGTTTTTTATCTTTATCCTTCCATGCTCTTTGCCCTTCCAAGCGATCATATTCTCACTTTTTCTCTCTCCATCTCATTTGCTCTCTCTACTTAACTCTGCTTCTATCCATCCTCGATGCAACTTCCCATCATCAGCTCATCATTCCACCTATCTACCTACTCTGCCTATGTATCTAACTATAAATTTGCTTAAAAAAGCATTACTTTTCTTTGTATTAAGCGTATCCCATGTATCTCAAACATAAGACTGCACGGTTCACCCCAATTTTGACTCTAGGTGTATCACTTCCCTCTGCTACCTCCTCACTGTTAACCCCTCAATCCTCGTTGCATGGCCCAAGGGCGTACCTGCAGAATAGACGCTGTAGTGCCTCATGTACTGCACGGAGAATACGGCTTCCATACCGCAATCGCTAGAGATGAGAGACGAGACATGAAATGAGGTGAGGTCAATTAGAAAGAGATGAGATAGGACGGCTTCCCATTTAGACAGACAGAAAGTGCAAATACATTAAGCTATAACTAACAAGGTACTAGTGGAGTGGCAAGAAGGCGCGGATTCTACTTACAACGCTCCTTCCTCCGCTTTCAATTGCATTTGCACCTCTGCAAATTAATATGTTTATGGTTCTGCTTCTGGCTTATCAGACTGGCAAAATTAGATAAAGTTTGAACTATTAGTATAGCAAAAGTATTTCAGGGGGAGAAAATACAAGCCTAAATGATGGAGATGCAGGGATACAAATGACGAAAAAGCATGAATGCTTACTAATTGTGGCATGGCCGTCCCTCCTCCAGATGGCCTTATCTACCTCCTCCTTGGATCACGCAATTGATCCTACTCCTGCAGCAGCAACTCCTCGCATTTTGCAGCCTCTATCACTTATTCTACACTTTATTTCTCCACCTCTTTCCCATTCCCCCTATTTTCGCCTTCATCTTTATCTTCTGCTTCGCCTTCCTTTACATTGCTTGCAAAGCTAGTGGCTTTATAATATAGGTTCATGACATTGTGTCTTTGTAGATTCGTGTCATAAATTATGTTAATCTATGGCAAACACACTCCAGCTGAGGTACGTTGGTCTAAAAATCATTAAAGCTTCTCGAGATAGTCGGTTTTTGAGGAAGAAACGAAGAGAAAGGCTAAATGAAGAATAGTGCATAATTTCTTTTCATTTATGATTACATTGTCTGCCTGTCTGTCTGTAAAAGGGTTGTTTTCAGATAAGTGGTGCTTCTAGAGACTTATAGCTTCCCCCTCATATTTATCCACGCGCTGTAGAGGATTTGCAAAACTTTAAGAGTTAGATCTGTAAGTTCTGTTGATCTTTAATGCTTGGTTTTCTCAAAAGAATGACAAAACTGTGGGTAAGGGAAGTGAGTACGTTAAAGACGCTTCCAACCAAGTAATTCGGATTCAGAATTTACCAATTTACAAATTTTTCCTTTTTTTCTCTAATTTGCTCACAATTTCTGGTTAAACAGTCATCCTTCGTCGTTTTAGAGACTTATGCTCCTGTTTTGACCCTCCTCATTGGCTAGCATGTGGCAGAGGTATGTTCTGAGTCAACAGAAAACCACTCAACGGTTACGATCAAACACTATAAATACTTCCAAATGAACAACTTAGGCATCGTAGGGCCTTTATTCATCAAGAAACACAGTCGGTCAGCCAACCAGCCTTCAGGATATTGGGTACACCAGTACGAACACGAAGAGTCGTGGTTTCTGTCTACTACAGAGATGACCATCCACACGGCTGACCACATTGCGGCACC